CAAGATCATCGTACACATATTTCACCTTCACAGCAACCACAACAGCAAGCAACTGTAGCCGTAACTACGAGTCCTTCTGCCCGTATGAATGATCTTTTTCAAACAAAAGGAAATACAGAAAAGGATTCATCATCAATACTTATTAATAGTAGGTCAATTACTGTATCTATCTTAGCACAATTACTAATGTATTAAATCCAAGCAAAAAACACTAAAGCATCATTTGATATTATACATACTCGTAAGAGAATATAGTAACTAAGAGAAAAAAAGAAAAATAACGCTGTTTTTTGTGAAAGTATAACATTAATTACAGCATGCGAACGAGACTACTGCATGTATCTTGCACACGTACGAAACAAAGAAGAAAGAAAAAAAAGCAATTTTTTCTCTTCCTCTTTTTTTTTACCTGGAGTCTTTTATGATTGATGTTTGCTAATTTTTTCTTTATACAATGAAATCTTACCTTTGAAAATATCGAAAAAAAATTTTTGGCATATATTTTGAATGCAAATAAAAATTTTTCACTGATTTTAACGAACAATTAAATTTATTAATTAACAAGTACTTTACAATGAATTTAAATACATCAAATAAATGTTTAGATATATCACAATCACCATTTGATCAAGATGATAAGGAAGTAGCTGAAAGTCTCTCACATACAACAAATTATTCACTTCAATTTGAAGCATGTATGTAATTGACTAATTTTTTTTCGTATTGTATTTTAATCTTCAATTTTTTTTGTCTATCAGTACCAAATGATGAAGATGATAATGAAAATGGTGATATAGTCTTTATGCCAATTAAATCAAATGATGATGATGAAGCAGTAAAATTCAAAAAAGAAAATAACTATAACTGTTTGTTTGTTTAATAGATTAATGATAATCAAGATCCACTTGTATCACCATCGAAATATCGTGATGATTCACTTTGGTCAAAATCATGTCATTCTGGTGGTGAAAGTCCAATGAAGTAGAACAATTCATGTTTAGTTTTTTTTTCTTTAAAAATCATTTTGTTTTATTTTTCAGAGGATTAAAAACATCAAGTCATCAAGTCATGGATGATTTTAGTGATCCAGGAGAAACAAGGTAAAATTAATATGAAATATTTTATATTAGTTGTTGAATATTCATTTTTTTTATTAAAGTGATAGAGATGATGATTCAACGGCTGATGAAGAAGATTTATTACATTCACGTGTAAAACGTCGTAGTGGACGATCACCAAATACTTCTCAAATACCATTAAATGTTGATGTTAGTAAAATAAATAGATTATATTCTATTTTATTATAGGTTTTATATTTACTAGACATTGCATGCTATCCGTGAATTAACTCATCAATTAAATCAACACCGTTCACATGTAACGTCTGAACCTATTTCACAAACCACATATCAATCTGAATATGATGAAAAACTTGAACGATGTTGTCAACGTCTTGAACAATTAACAAACAAAGTTGATAGATTAATTAATCTCGAACAAACTGGTATTTTAATAAAAGTCATTCGAATAACAGATCATTGATGAGATATTAAAGAGAATATACTTTGTCTAGCGCGAATAAAGCTCTTTCTTATTTATGTTCTTTCTCTAACCAAACTCTCATGAGAGATAAAATGATAACAAAAGGTCAATTAGTTCCTATGATGAAATTGCTGTTCTTTAGGGCTTTTGTTGATGACAGAATCGTATATTTTCTTGTTTTTGGTTAGAATTCAATAATCAAAATCATCGTTAAGTAGTTGATGAACGATAATTTATGATTTTTATCATATAAAGCTTGTTCACTGATATACACAGTTCTGAACAAAAGCAGCCGTCACCATGAAGTGCTACTATTATTTAATATATAACTCTTCATTGGTTCACAAATATTGGATTTATAATTCAGACATCATCTTCCTCGCATGATCGCCTTATTTTATCCATATTGATACAAATATTTTTGTCCAACTAGTCATTCAAAAGATCACTTTCTTCGCGATCTGTAGTCTAAATTTTGTTAGAAATTACTTTAAAAGGATTCAGATATCATCTTCTCATTAAGAATATTTATTGAAGAGCAAATGTTTCTGCAAGTTTGTCTTGATATTTTAGCACCACAGAATTGAATGAAATCGAGATAGTTCAACGATAGAGGTTCACTATCTCCGAATGTGCTAATTACTCAGATTATAACTATATATCACGAAATTTGCTGATTATAAAGAAAGCGTATAGGTAGAGCCCAACAGGTGATAGTAGCTTGTGGAATAGAAGTACAACAAGCCAAAATCTTTTCACTGCACGTTTTCGATGAATATATTTTTTTTTCACAGGAGAAAGACGATGTATAAATCATAACTCTAGTACATGTGAACTGATGCAGGACAGGTCGTTGCTTGCGATCATGATTTATTATCACACACATGTATCCAAAATATCAGTTCAGTATCATAAAGAATAGTAGCATTTTAGAAGGAACGGCTACTTTTGTTCAAGACTGTATATAGTGCGTTTACAAGTATCTCGAAAAAAATAAGCGTCCGAGACTAGAAGCTTTTCAAAATTCAAGAAAATTATTAATTTTCTTGATAATTTTTGTTTAATTTCAATTTTCATTTATTCTTAGTGGTTGCTTCTCGACCAAGTCGACCAAGTCCTAATACAGCACCTATTGATATAATAGCAACAAATGAACCTGAATTAACTTTGACAGATGCACATTATGATCGATTAGAAGCTATACTTATCGAAAAAATTCAAACATATGTACAAGCTGGTATGAAAAACAAATAAAATTTTATCCACAAAAATAAAAATTGTTTATTGTAGCAATGAAATCAGTGTTTGAACCATATCGAGATTTAAAAGATAATTTACATAAAGATTTAGCTGCAAAATTATTAGCTACTGATACAGTTATTAAACAAACAATAACACAAATATTTCGCTCAAAGGTTTTATTTATTAATTTTAATTTTAATTTTTCTTATGTATTTTGTTTTTGTAATTAATATTAGACTATGATTGATTCATTAAGTAATGCCGTAGCAAATGCAATTCAAACAACAATGGTCACATCCTATCGTGATACATTTAATCAAATTGTTATACCATCATTTGAAAAAGCTGCAACAAATATGTTTCAACAAACCAATGATGTATTTAAACGTGGTACAAAAGAATGTATGTATAATATATATTCTTCAAATAAATAAAAATTTAAAATATATAGATTTACAAGAAATGATCGAATATGGTCGTCAACAACAACGTTCATTAATTCAACAACGTGAACAAATGATGAATGAAATACGTAAAGATTCAACACAATTATTAAAAGAATTGGAAAAGAAAAATCAAGAATTAATAAATACACTTAAAAATGAAATTATTCAATATATGACAACAACTCTTACACCTTTGTAAGATTAAATCACTGAATCAAAACTTTATCTTATTATGAAATACGATTCAAAAACGGTGTTAAATTATAGATATAGACATTTGAGTCTCACAGATATCTTCACAATGAGTCATTATTAGAGGCTTGTGGACTCATGCTTTTTTAATTGCGAAACTTTTTTTCTAGTAAATTAGCACCAGCTTACGTTTGCGGCGATATTATGTATTTTCAGGCTTTTCCTCTACTTTTTCGGTTTCACATAAGTCAAGAATGAAACGGAACTTCCGGAATTCCTATGGCTTACATTAACTCTTATTCTAACGGAGGCGAGTTTTAAGGTCCGATGCAGGAATCTCGTCATTGCAGACCGCATATCAATAATGTCTCCTACTAAAATATGAATCACTTCCTCATTGCATTTCTGAAAGATTAAGTAAAAGGATGGTGAAGAAATATGTCCAAAAATGTATACAAAAAAAAACAAATTCCCTGTAGTTAGCAATAGCAGCTACATCATGTTTCACATTTTCATATTGACAGCTTTGTTTTTCTTTTACAAATAGAATTCGTGAGACGATTCAATCAATAGTTCGTGAAGAAGTCACAAATGTTTTACGTGAATTATTAGTTACCCAAAAAAATGAAATAAATACTTTAATTATTCAACATCTTCGACAACAACAACAACAACAAAGAACAATTACACCAAAACCACAATCGACAGCGAGTCAAACAACAACCCCAATACCTACTGTTGCATCATCCAATCAAACAAAAATAACTTCAACAATTGATATTAAACAGCAAACAGCATCAAAATTTGTTCATTCTGGTCAATTAAATCAAGCATTTGAATATGTTTTATCAGCATCTGATTTAAATCTTGTTTTATATCTATGTGAAAATATCCGTCCAGCTGAATTATTTTCAATGCAACCATGTCCATTACAAATTCCAGTTATTCTTTCTTTAATTCAACAACTTGCAGCTGATTTAAATACACATCAAGAATTAAAATATAGGTAAATTATTTTCTTTTTAAATCGATTTTGTTTTATTTTATTTTTTTCTAATTTTTTTCATATTTAGTTATTTATATGAAGCATTGATCTGTCTTGATTTATCACATCCAAGTGTACGAGATTATTTATATAATGTATTAACTGATCTTAATAAAAAATTATATGCATATATTCAAACAAATCCCACAGGAACAATGACGAAACGTTTTCAATTATTATATTTGGCAAGTCAAGGTTTAGTACAGAAAATACTTCAGCAACGAGCAACACCGATAAATCAAATATTATCATCATCAAAATAATTTTGTATTTTTGTAAATTAAACGTGTTTTCTTTTTTTTTTTGTTATCTGTAAAGTCGCAAACTTCTTCAAAATAGGATTTTTTTTCGTTTGTTTCATGTTCTATATATCAAAGAAACCTATACGGATTGTTATATTTGAATGTTTCACTTTGTATTAGTTTGGTTGTTTACATTAACAATTAAATAGATTCTAATGGGACATAAAATTTTTCTGATAAAATCAACTCTTAAAATGAATGAAAATATATTTATTTATTTTTAAGCACTTCATGTCTGAAAGTGATGATCCACGGATAATACATGATATCGATTGGCCGATGCTTGATAAAAGTCGATATGTTCCTTTAAATCTTCTATCAACATTTACTGTTCGTTCACTTCTTTATCCATTTACACTTGTTCGTACACGTTTACAAGTACAAATACAATCATCGATTTATAAAGGTACATGGCATGCATTAACATCAACTGTTCGTTATGAAGGTTTTCGTTCATTATATAAAGGCTTTCTTGTTTATAATTGTCAATTAGTACCCGGTCTAATTTATATAACAACATTTGAAGCTACTCGTTCACATGCAAATATTATAACTAAAAATGAATATTTACGTGCTGGTTTTGCTGGCTCAATAGCTTCATTAATAGCACAAATACTTGCTTGTCCAATTGATATTATATCTCAACATATGCAATTAGTTGGCTTAACATCACCCGGAAAAAAAACTCGTACTAAAAATGGTACAACATCTGTATCAGATACAACATTAACAGACACAAAAATAACTCGTCAACAAATACCTCGTATACATGTACCTAAAGAAATACGTAATAGTAATTACTTAATATTTAAACATATATGTAAAACTATACTTTATGAAAATGTTTCTGATAATAATAATAATAATACTAATAATAATAAACCTCGTTTGAGTTTAAAAGGTTTTTATCGTGGATATTTTATTTCGACGTTTTTATTCAGTTTAACTAGTGCAATCTGGTGGCCATCATATTACTTTTATCAAAGACAAATGCTTAATATTGAAGCTACGTTTCGTAAGTATTATAGATTTATTTGAAAACTTCTAGTGTAATTAGATTTTTTAAAACATTGTTTAGAAGTAAAAGAAAAAGAAAATTGTTGTCGTTTAGAAATGTTTATTCTCTTTTTTTTTTCTTTAGCTAATATGTTTCCATTACCGTTACTTGTAATTCAATGTATTGCTGGTCCCTTATCTTCTCTTACATCAACATTACTTACGAATCCACTTGATGTATGTCGCACACGTATACAAGTTGAACAAGAACGACGAAAAGTATCACAAATAATGCGTGAATTATGGCAAGAAGAACGTTTTAAAATATTTACAAAAGGCTTAACAGCTCGTCTTTCTCATTCATGTGTTTATTCATTATTTATTATATTTGGTTATGAAACAGTTAAACGAATATCATTAAAAGAAGAATATAAAGGACAAATAAGATGGTAAACAAAATGTTAACATTCCGGTTTACATAAATTCTTCCGTTCCTATCTTGTAATTCTTTCGTTTGATTGTATATGTATATTTTGATAATACGACAATTAGGAAAATAAAAAATCACACTATGAATTAGACTTATTTGTAAAACATTAATATCAAATAAATAAAATTCTGTTTTTATAGCTTTTATTTTTAAGTTTTGTTGTATAAGATTTATTCATAGTCAAAAGATATTATCAAATAATAAACTATCAATTTTGAAAAGTTCTTTGTTTTTCAATATCATAAAATTCTCGTTTAGTATTGCCGATGAAAATTTTTTTCTTTACAGTATCAAAATTATCTAGCACATATTATTCTTTGAAAAAAATTTAAATAATGAAAGAACAATCACGATGGAGTTTCTTCTTTTGTATTCTTTTGTTTGTTTATTATAGTGTGACGTTTGCTAATTTATTTAAATACCGATTATAAAACTGTCAAACAATATGATCCATAAAATATATTTCAAGACGAATAAGTTATAAAGTACAACAATAAGTTTATTCAGCTGTATTTCTATAGGATATTCGGCAAAATTCCATTATGAATGCTTCTTTCATACTGCAACTTGATCATCCAAATTTGTTATTCACTAAGTAGTACTATATAGTAGTATTCAGGAAAAACAACAAAGATATTGATTTATGACTTTTTTTTCCATGATGAAACTAGGGAAATTCTATTTTAGAATAAATTATTTGTTTCTAACTAAAAAGTTGTTATTTGAGAATATCTGCAATACACATTAAATATTTATATTATTCAAGCTTATATTAATGAATCTAATCTTTTTCTTTTTGAAAAAGTAAATGAGCATTTATTGAAATAATTAAAAGAAATTATGCAGTATAACTTGAAAAAGAATTGAAATTAGAAAATTATTCTCTATTTTAGTTACATAATATGATGCTTTGAGATTGCCAGGAATCGGAAGGAGGGATGTGAAAACTCACGAGACCGATAAGAAGATTTTTAGTAAAATTGATTGGATTCGGCAGTAAACAAATCGAACGATTTGTTGAGAACTAATGAGCAAAAAAAACAAATAAAACGCTGAAAATTCGCTCGGGAAAATCGAAGATTTCTCAAGATTAGAAGAGATAATCTCCGATCAAGACAATCCCAATGACATAAATGAAAGTAAAGTTTTCTCGTACACATCATACTATAAGTCTTTTGGCGAGTTCTAAAGCATGTTTTTTGTAGTAACAATGGAGTGTCAATAGTTTTTCTTTGTTAATTCATAGCAGTGTAAATAGTACATGATAAATCACTTTTCAGCATTATACAATATGTAACAAGTTTAACAAAGATTTTCATTCCATAATTTTCTTTAATGTTTCGTGTGTTTATCATTTTTATGATTTATAGAAAAAAAAAAGATTTTTTTCAAAATATTATCAATACTATGATTAGTCATAATGCATTAGAATAGGCTCATATTTCAACAAATGGACGAGTATGTCATTGGAGTACTTCTCAAGATAATATATTCTTTTTTGTTATTTAAATAGAACTTTTTTGTTTATCTTCTGAAATAAAATATATGTGATCAACTTACAATGAATCAAACATTTTGCTTATCAATAGATTCATAAAAAAATGTTTTTATCATTCAAAAAAAATTTTTTAATCTTAAACTCAATGAAACATCACAGTTAATCAAATATCAAAAAAGAAAAAAAAATCAAATTTGATCTTCTTCTTCATTGTCATCATCGATATTGACGATTTCTTTTGTTTTCGGCTTTAATGGTAAAGTTCTTTTTAATAAAAAGACACTTAAATCATCAGCATTAGTACGTTGATGAATATCTACAACATATTCTCGTGATTTATCATTTAATAATTCAACCATTCTATTAGCTGTCACAATATCTTTTCGTAATTGTACAGGAGGAATAAGTGGTGTATTTGGATAACTAATTATTGTTGAAGGTGATGGTTGTCGACTTCTATATGTTGTTATTGTTGCTATTGAACGACGATTAGACCTTGCATTGTGCCCAGCTAACAAATCTAATTGACGACTAATAAGTTTGATAACAATAATTAATAAAACAGTAGCTAAAACCATTAATGCAAGAATTCCAGCAGCGGGAAAACCACGTTTCTGCATCCAACGTGGAGTTGTTGTTTCATTTGTAAATTGAAGACATGATGGAGATTGTTTTACTTTAATACAACTATTTAAAAGTCGATATATATATATATTTATATTAACTTATGTAGTTATATTAATGAATTTCTATATCGAAATAAAATATAAAAAACTTACCGACATGTAACATTACGTCTACGTCCTCGACATGTATTACAATTGATTGTTATTGTTACACGGCGATCAGAACATAAAAATCCACATGACTTATCATGTTCACATATATAAAAACACGAATCTGTTGGAAGATTATTTGTTGTTGTACTAATAGTATAGGAAGTATTTTCTGTCAGTAACGATGAAGGCGTTATTTGACATTGTTGACAACGTTGTGTATTATGTATCGTATGAAGACAATGTGTATCTTCTAAACAATGACTATAATTAACTAGATTTGGTACAAGTTGAGTGACATGTGTTGACGATGGAGATAATCGGCCTTGACTACATTGTTTAGTAGAATACGAAGTAACACATTGAGAGAGAGATATTTTAGAAATAAATAAATCAGTTAATAAAGAACGTCGATATGATGATCGACAAAAACATAATGGTGAATGTTCACGATTAGAACATGGAACAGATTCACCTATGTATAGAAATGATTTCAATTTGTTATTTACATAAAACAAAGTAAATCCCAATGGTAAATACTTACCATCAATGTGATAAGGATTCATCGTGATAAATATAGCAATGAGAACAAAAGACCAAGTAAGCATCAATATATTCAAATTCGATTCTGCTCATACACACCACTGATTTCGTTCCCACTACCGCTGGTTCAATCTCGTGCTATCATACAGTGCTGATTAATATTGATGTTGATGCTGATGTTCCGTTCAAAATTCTTTGAGAATGAACCAATGATTACTTGTTCTTTTTTTCTAGTTTGATCATCATTATCATCATGTTTTCTAGAAAAAAAAGTCACCAGGGGAAGAGACATCGAATGAATGACTTGAAAAGAAAGAAAGAACACACGAGAGACAACAGCAAGGATAGGCATACTATTTATGTCATGTTTATACGATGTATCATGTGGTGTTATTCTTCTATGTATACTATAGACAATTAAATATTAGGAAAAAAACGAGAAAAAGCTACTAATATCATAACTAGAAGAAACAAATAAAAAAGAAAGAAAAAAAAAGAACTCTCCGTTGTTCATCAAACAAGATATATTTGATGGACCGAGTGAACGTTATATTTGATTTCTTTTTCTATATATAATCATTATTGTTGTTGTTGTTGTTGTTGTTGTTGTTTTTTATGGTTACTCGGTCTATATGGCTGTCATTAAAAATATGGAAGTATGTCGAGTTCTATTTGTTCTTTTATTGTTCTTGGTCTATCGTGAAGGAAAGCTTCTCGTTTCTTACGCTTGTTTCGTCAATATTCTCTTAAATACGGTACGTAGGAGAAACAACACATAGAGAGAAACCAGATTGATCTATCGTAAGTATGCGTCTGGAATGGTAATGGCTCTTCAATATATATATAAGAGAGAGAGAGAGAGAGAGAGAGAGAGAGAGAGAGAGTAAAAGAATTTGTTTTTGCTTTTATAGTCTGGTAGTATGAGTTTCGTTCTCATCAACATCATCATCATAATCGATTGGAAGTAACAATAATAGGATTCAGCATAGATGAAATGTTCCGATTTTCTCTTTCTATCTATTTCGTTTGTATACGTAAGTGGCATTTGGACATGATAATGTTACATGACAAATGACATGTCAACATATATGTGCACAACATTTAAGACTGTGATATCATATCATATGGGTTCTTTCAAGAAAATATGTAAGTCTTGTTTCTAATTACACAAATGTAGATAAATCTATATATAAATACAAACAATATTTCAAATAGCCTAACAAATCGATTATCATGTTGTTCTTTTTTTTTTCTTTATCTTTCTATTAAAAAGTTAAATTTTCATATATAAATGATTATATTTTTTCGTCGTTTTTCAATAGATTTTCATTTATTATTTTGTATAAATTGATAAAGTTCTTTGTATGAGTATAATGTTTTTAAAAAGAAACAATTCATACATCAATCAAGAAAACAACAGCAAATAGCCAAAATGTCTAATGTCGTTAATTCTTTTCTCGTGACATTTAGAACTGTTCTTAATCGTCTACAATATAATTATTTGAAATTATTGACGTTAACTGTAAAATTATTATCAATACATACTCAAAATGAATCTTTCATAATAGATGCTACAAATAACATTATGTATTAGAATATTTATCTACAGAATAGCAATGAAAAAGACATCGAAGCTAATCTTCTTGTTTCTTTCCTTTTTCTTTTTTGTTTCGAGTAACTCAATTAAAGTGCTGATGAAAATATGATTTTCATGTTTTTTCTTTTGTGTTAATAAAGTTCTTGAGTGTTTTCGAATGAGATTCAATTATCGAAAGACAAAAATTTTTCAAATAGCATCATCTGTTTTAAAAGTGACTAAAAATAGCACTACAAGCTAATACGATAAAATTATGTCAACATATCTCACAGGAATACTTATTAACAAAAGATCATAGAAAAAAAATCCTTTTTTTTGTTCAACACAGATCATTGTTTTTTTTGCAGCAAATTTTTTCATAATGATACAAAGATTATCTTATTATACATTAATTATTTTCTTAATATCGTTAACTTTGATGATAGTTTTGGTTATTGTTCAAGTGTATGCGAAAGAAATATTGAATAATATAAAGAGTAAAAGAAAAGAGAAGTTATTAATGATCAATAGTAATTGATTCCTGAAGCTTTGAAGATCCAAAGCTACGAT